GAACAGGATGAGAACCAGACGGTGCGGAGAGCTCTGTTGGAGCAGAACCAGATGGTGATGTGGAGATGTGGAGATCATATCTGGCTGGATAAGCTTGCCTGAGTTCCCAGCAGATGACGCAGGCGGCTGGGTCGGCTCGCTCAAGCTCTCAGCAGTGACAGAACAATGAGACTGCTCAGCTGAGCTCCCAGCTGAGACAGGTGGAGGCGGAGTTGGCTAAAGTTGTGCAGATCACACCCCCTGCACACAACTCCACAGCTAAGGCTACTGTGAAGTGCTGGCCATTTTCCTCATGGGAATGGATACAGTGCTGGTGCTTGCCGAACACCAGCCACCCCCTCCCAGTGGGTGCAATGACAGGCTGAGTGTCAGCTGTCCCCACCCTAGGAACAGGGACAGGCGCAGGAACAGGCCAGATACCAGTTGCCTCCACTCAAGGAACAGATTCCGGTGCAGAGGAGGACTTGGCCATGGCTGCCCTCACCTGTGGAGTAGGTGACTGTGGAATAGCTGTTCAGCTGTGCTTCCCAGGTGTTTTCACTTTGCCCTTTTCCTGAGTCCTGCACAATGGGTCCAAAACCTGTTGACAGCTTACCATAACACAACGCTAACAAGCTCTACAACTTCAAAATGGCCTGACCCGAAGACCAAAATAACAATCTTCACACATTTAATGTTACATTAATGTTTCATCACTAAGTACACACATGTCTATACTTTTCAAGAAACTTACACTTTCACTGATCTTTACAGTAAAAGTAAAAACAATCATTCATTCCTGGACTGCGCTGTGCACATTGAAGAGAACGGCAAACTCAACATCGAAGTTTACCGGAAGCCCACACACACGAACCAGTACTTCCTCTTTGACTCCCATCACCCTTTGGAACACAAACTTGGGGTAATCAGGACCCTACACCACCGGGCAGAACATGTTCCCTCTAAGCCTGAAGGGGAAAAAGAAGGAACACACACATGTAAAGGAAGCACTCAAAACGTGCGGCTATCCTAAATGGGCGTTCTTAAAGTCAGCAAAGAGGCACAGAAAAGAAGATCAGACACCAGCGAGGGAGGACAGACGCAACAACATTGTCATCCCCTATGTAGCCGGTGTATCAGAGAAACTCAGGAGAGTTTTCTCCAAGCATGACATCCCAGTGTATTTCAGACCCAGCAACACGCTCAGACAGAAACTGGTTCACCCGAAAGACAAAACGCCAAAACACAAACTTAACAATGTGGTGTATGCTGTACAGTGCAGCGAGGAATGCTCAGACCTCTACATTGGAGAGACCAAACAGCCACTTCACAAGCGCATGGCACAACACAGAAGAGCCACCTCCACAGGACAAGACTCAGCAGTCCATCTGCATCTTAAGGATAAAGGACACTCTTTCGAGGATGCCAATGTTCACATTTTGGACAGAGAGGACAGATGGTTTGAAAGAGGAGTGAAAGAAGCCATCTATGTCCACTGTGAGCGACCATCTTTGAACAGAGGCGGGGGTTTACGACACCAACTCTCTGCCATCTATAATCCAGTTTTGAGATCCCTTCCCAGATGCCTTAACGCCCACTCACATCCTGGGCCATCTGACCTCAGGAATTCGCATGATAAGGTGGGGCCAGGTTTCACAATGAACACACCCGAAACTCTGGCTGATTGGGACCCACGCCCAGTTTCCCACCTTGGCTCAGGCGATTAGAGGATCATCAGGGGGTCCTTTTGTCCCTCTGTGGGGGGTCACTCCCACTAGGTTTATATCTGGGACTCTCCACCATTTGACCTTAGAACTGAAGAAGCTTCTCGGATGAGAGGTGAAACGTCTTCAAGCAACTTAAAGAAGTCCAGACGCTTTTCTTTGCAAGCTCCTTTGACTACGATGACCTGGATGACTGAGAACCTTCACAGACAATCATTCATTCATTCATTCATTAAGTCAAAGTTAAAGTAAACTTTATTGTCATCTCTGCTATATCCAGTCCAGCATACAGAGAGATGAGATGATGAGGCTCTGGTTTCATCAGTGCAAAGCAAGCTAATAAATAGATATAAAAATGAGAAGAAAATAAATAAATATCCGCTTGAGAGTTACAATTAGAATTTACAGTTGGTGTGGTTTAAAGTGACCAGTGTAGCAGCTTGTAAACCCAGTTCAACCCAGAGTGAATAAGATTGTTCATAGGGCAGCATAAATTGCCCATAGTGTAAATGACCTTTAAATTTGGTAAATATTTTTTACATTTGTTTGAAAGGCACTTTGGTTTTATTTTTGAAATCCGTGCTTTTATTTTGAAACAGGAAACTGGCTCTAAACCGCTAAAGGGCTGTTAGTAACGTTTCTTTTAGGATATGGTAAATAGTGTGCCTTAAAGTGAAAAATATGTACGTTTACTTTGCCAATTAGTACCTGGCTGACAGTGGCACAAGGTTTGTTAATGTTTCCTTTAACGGAATAAGTTACATGCAATCAAAATGTCGTTTAATAGAGTTTATGTTGTTAACCTTGACCTTTATGTGTAGTTGTAAGTTAGTGAGGTGATATAATGAATTGAGTGATGTAAATTTGATGTAAATGCTATATGTGAGCAGGAGAAATTTGTTTCCTTTGATGTTATGGTATTAATATTGCTGGTTTTGTTTTGCTCCTAGCTCTTACGGTGTCTTCACTGAATGTTTCAATAAAAACATTTCCAATAAAACCTCTGTGAAGCATCAGTATAAGAGACCATCATTCAGCCAGGGATGCTACACATAGAGTAGTGTGTCTTACAGAGGTAGTGGTGTGCAAAGCGCAAAAAAAGTCAGTTAACAGATTGTGTGGGTGTGTTTGGGGGGAGGGCTGGTAGTGAGTTCAGGAGTCTGATGGATCTGGCCCCGATGCTGCGGTAGCGTCTGCCTGATGAGAGGAGAGAAAAGAGTCCATGTGAGGGGTGTGACAGGTCGAGCACGATACCTGAGGCCTTACTGATGCAGCGATTTGAAAGATGACTGTAGCAGAGGGAGAGATGTTCCAATGATCTTGGTAGCTGCTTTAACAATCCGTTGTAGTTTGCTGAGATCATCAACATTGCAGTTTCCAAACCACACGGAGATGCAGCTGGTCAGAACACTCTCTATTGTCCCTCTGTAGAACATAGTGATGTTGGGAGGAGAGAGGTTGGCCCGCTTCAGACATCTCAGGAAGTGGAGGCGCTGCTGGGCCTTTTTGGTGATGGAGGTGGTGTTGGTGGTCCAGGTGAGGTTGTCTGAGATGTGAACTTACATGTTAGGTATACAGTAATCTGCTATTTGGGGATAATGCCTAGCTATAGGTTTCACATTTATGCTTTCAACTTTAATCGTCAGCCATATCTAGGTAATAATGGATCGCATTTATATAGCGCTTTTTGGGCCCTCAAAGCGCTGTACAGTTCCACTATTCATTCACTCTCACATTCACACACTGGTGGAGGCAAGCTACAGTTGTAGCCACAGCTGCAGACTGACAGAAGTGAGGCTGCCATATCGCACCATCGGCCCCTCTGGCCATCACCAGTAGGCGGTAGGTAAAGTGTCTTGCCCAAAGACACAACGACCGAGACTGTCCGAGCCGGGGCTCGAACCGGCAATCTTCCGGTTGCAAGACAAACTTTCAACTCTCTTTACTACTACTCTAGGTACTTTACTCTTTTGGAAAAAAGGAGTTTATGTGACACTGACACTGACAGCATTTTGCAAGATTTAAGAGGTCGTCAAAGCAGTTTTTCCATATGGTCAAATACAGTGGTCCCCAGTATGCTGTATCCAGTGACCAAAGAATACTGAACTAGGAGTCTTTCTTCCCTCCTGTGTTACTCCAAATCAAATACCCTTGTGTGGTGATGAGTTCTGAGGGTATTTATGTAATCTGTTGGATGGAATCCAGCAAAGTAGTAATCTTGGGGTTCATTGCACTTTTTTTCTATATGTAAATTCCCTTGCTCAACTTTTATCAATAAATGTTTGTATCATTCTCTCAGTCTCTGAAGACTATTTATTGAGTTTATTTCATCAATTTTCTTACATGGATTTTAGTCATATATAATGCAACTGATGATGTACAACTAATTTAAATATACCTAATATTAATGGTTCTTTTGTTCCGTCTGACTTTTACATACATTTTTCAAGTATTGAATTATACAAACTTAACCACAAGGTCCACATAAGGTAAACATTTGCATGAGCTAAGGGCTACTCAAATACTATACTTCGGTAGTATAGTAATTACTATAGCAATTACGGAGGTTCCATAAAAACAGAAACAGACTGGTCGAGCTGCAAAGATCTGCAGGAAAAAGGGGTAAATTAATCAAATAAATTAAGCACATAGTGCTGATAATAGTGTTTATTGTCTCAGTCTCTCTGTGTTGGTTTGAGCAGAACATTTATGATCCTGTCCAGTTCTTAAAAATGAATATTCTACCTGAATATTTTTGACAGTGTACGAGTCCCTTTTGGATCAGAAAGACTCCTACAGCATTATCTACTCTGAGTTTTAAGTGAAACTGAAATATTTGCCAGCTGGTTGACATAGTGCGTCATCATGAACATGATAAAAAATCAGTACAGGGAATTTCCAATATCCATAAAAAAGGTCTCTCTTTTATTACAAAATAAATCATCTGGTTGTTAACAAATTATGACAGGAGATACTGGATTCAATCCATGTGGTTTTTGATTTCAAAAATTCAACTGAAAAATAATTTCAGTGATGTGTACAGGAAATTTATTGACACTGTCACAATACTGTTCTGTTGATCTTTTAAATAAAAAATTCACTGGTTTCTTTGTTCTGATGTCCTTGGTATAAATCAACAATCAAAGCATTTGTTTAAGCCTGATTCCTAATTACTTGTGTCAACATCCTGCACAGTGTGCAAATGAGTATTTTCCATTAACAAATCAATTTTCTGTTTTTCTGTGTCTGTTTGACTAGTTACTAGTTTCTAACACTTCCCCTCTTCCTTGTGTTCAGGAGCTGTGGTAATAGCCTTTGTGGTCTGCTGGCTGCCCTATCACGCTCGCCGTCTCATGTTTTGCTACGTGACTGAGTGGTCAGAGTGAGTAACGATTCCTCTCAGTCTTTCATGCAAGGGAACATTCACTACTTGGTTTAGTCCACGGGTCAGCAACCTTTAACACCCAAAGAGCCACTTGGACCCGGTTTCCACGCAAAAGAAAACACTGGGAGCCGAAAATACTTTTTGAAATCTAAAATGAAGATAATACTGTATACATTGTTTTTTTTTACCTTTATGCTTTGTGTGAATAAGTAAAGTTTATTTATTAAGTGCTTTTCACAGACAGACAGTCACAAAGCACTGTACACAAATATTAAAATAAATGGTAAATGGTAAATGGCCTGCATTTGTATAGTGCTTTTCTAGTCCATAGGACCCCAAAGCGCTTCACACTACATTCAGTCATTCACCCATTCACACACACATTCACACAC